AAATATCATACAATAAGTGTTAAATGCTATCAGGAAATAAGTGCCTTTACAGCTTTCAGAGAGATACTCTCGAATGAGATGGGTCTTCAAGGACTTCTTGAAGGAGGAGAGAGAATCTGATGCTCTGATGCTTGTACGGTTGTTCCACCAGCATGGAACCACAGATGAGAAGAGTCTAGATTGACCTGTACAACGTGTTTTTAGGCGCTCCTTTGAAGGCCAGCATCAGTGATTTGAAATGTATGCGACCAGTTAAGGGAAACCAATGGAGCTCAGTGAACAGGAGTGTGACATGTGCTCTCTTTGGCCGGTTGAAATCCAAACAGGCTGCAGCATTCTGGATCATCTGTAGCGGTCTCACAGCATCCCTGCACGATTCCAAGGATGATGAAGAATAAGGGGACCGATCTGGATTATTGAGACACAGTCATGGAAAACAGACTGCAGAATCTGTTGCCTTGCCAACCAAACCCCACATGGTGTGAGGGTTAAATGTAAAAGATGCTCTGCCAATACAAATATAGGTTCCCATCTGTTTACATTTACATTTTGTTATGAATTCAAAATACGCAACAGTGACACTGTAGTTTTTAAGATCTGTGGTCCTTTACAAAAAGATCCGTATTAGATTTAATCTGTGAGAATACTGCATAGTAAATACACACCCTAAAATGCATTTCACATCACTGGCATATGACAACAGGCATATAAGAACTTGCCGTATAGCATCAATAAAGGCAATATGAAACAGTATCCATTAAATTTAACAATGGCATTTTAAATCTTGAAAATGAATCAACTTTGGATGTGAAATGGATCTAAGCAGCTTTTGATGGCATATAATTCCACACTCTCAACGTCGTAACTCTGTCATAAAAGAAAAGACTTCCTAAACAGATGACAAACCCGTGCACATCTGAAATTCTATTTTTACTCCCTGTGGTCCTGTAGAGGTGATTGCAAGCGTTTGCTTCCTCCCTTAGACATAAATTAGACTTCTGAGAAATTGCTAAAGTTTTCCGCTCTGTTTAATTTCTGTCTCTGACTATTAATCTCCTGCAGAGCCATCAGAGATATAATGTAGGCAAGAAAACAGCAAACTTGTTGCTTAGGAACAGTGAGAAATAACCCTAACTTTTCTTGAAGCATCTGATCTTGTCTCCCATGGTGCTCATAACTGTGTGTGTATGTGCTCTGTGCACGTGTGTGTGTGTGTGTGTGTGTGTGTGTGTGTGTGTGTAGTGAAGGGTGGAAGGTGAGGGGGTGGTAGAGTCAGGTTTAGCAGAGGTTGTTTCTAGGCAACAGTTTTTTTCTTCACAAATTCAACTTTTTTTTTCTTCTTCTCTGTTTTTGTGTCTTTTCCTGTTCATTATCTTCTACATTGTCCTCAAAAATACTTATGGGTACTGGTCACTCCCTCTAGTGTGCATGAACCAGCACAACTCTAGCACCTGAAATTTTTTACACGCTTGACTAACAACAGATGGCAAAATGTTTTTGATTTTCATATTATCTTTTGATAAAAAGTGCAAAAATTCCTTTCATCACAATGTCATTCTACTCAATCTTTCACATACGTACGGCATAAATCAACTGACTGTTTTACTGTGGTAAACAAATGGATAAACCAAATTTAAAGTCTGTTTGTGCAGCTCTTACAATACGTGTAACAGCTGCACTAGTTTGAAATGTCATCATGTGACCTTTTCATCCACATTGTTTTAATTGAACGCTCACCTGTGTGCAGCAGGTGTGGATTCAATTTTAAGTCATTTGCATGAATGGGAGAATGGAAAAACTTATCAATTTCACCTAAGCTTAGCGTAAAAACCATGTGCTTGGAAGAAAAAATATTATTTCTTACACATTCATTTTGACTTCCCAGACAGAGCAGCAGCTAATTACAACATCCATACTTGTTCACAGACTCACATCACACTGATTGTGCTGATGTTTTTTAGCCAAACGCCTTTGATCTGGGTTTTTAATTGGCTACTGTATGTGTGAAGTTTTTTAATTATAGTCCACAGACAGGATGTTCCAGGTGGAAGTCTGTGGTGAAATTTGTTTGGCAAACCCTAATTAGAAACATTTCTTCTCAGAAGAAATTATCTTACAAAAACACTTAGTGTGTATATTAGTATTCAAAGGAAGCATGTCTGCACAATTCCTGTAATCATTCTGGACTGTCCTTTGGCCTCATGACTGATCTTTTTTCTCTGTTAACTGCCTGTAACACATAAAACTATCTAAGTTCATGTTGCCATCTCATTATAAGGGAATGAAATATAACTTTCCTGTGCAGTTGCTTTAATACAGATAAGAATCCTGGTAGTTGACCGCAAATGATGTTTTCTTGGTTGCTTTATTGGTGTAACCAGTTTAAATCCACATTTTTTAAATTTTCAGTGCCTGTCCTCATGAATTATGATAAATGTTAATGTATCGACCTGGAACAAGAACAGAAATAAGCTCAGAGTCCTCCATGACTACATCTGATATGGTGTGTCTGATACAGTAAATTCCTATCAGGAAAACCACCAGCTGAAGTGATATCTAAGAAATATACTCATTGCAACAGCAATTAAACTGTCCATTCAGTTACTACCAATCTAATTCCCATATAATTGTCTTAACCCTTTAATGACATTTGTATCATATTTGACAAATATAGTTTCTGAATGTTTACCATCCGAGACCTTTAGCAACATTTAATGGTAAAAACTGCTCAAAATCCTGTTGTGCATAAATTGATTTACCTGATAACAGCGGGCAGATTCATTTTGACTTATTTGACTCATTTTGACAGTAATAAATTATCAATATTCAAAAAGTTTGTTAAAGAGCCAAATAAAGACTTAAAACAAACAAAAAAATCTCTCTATTTATCTATTGGATTAGGCTTTAAAGGGTTAAAATAGAACCATATCCTGCCAAGAAGGTATAGAGTTAAACGTCCCTCTATCTTCCAATTTCATTAAGGAACATATCCCCCTAGAGATGCTAAATGCTGTTTCACGGGAATTTTAATTGTAAAAGCCATCTGACACCAGGCTGCTAGCGTCTGTTTAAAGGGATTTTTTAAACATCACATAGAGGCCAAAGTCCCTGGCTTTGGTTGCACAATGAAGAGAAAAATGTTTCTTTTCAGTTTTGATAGTTTTGAAGGGATTTATATAAAGAACAGTACCTTTAAATAATAAGCACACACAAATCTAATACTCCCAACTCAGTCCTGACACATATTAGATTGTGAAAAAAACTGTGTAGATGCTGACACTAACTTCAAGAACTACACCTAAGTCAAAAACATGTTAACAGGTCAATGTCTTTAATCTCTATTCTAAAATCTAAACTTCCTTAATTTCGCTTCTAAAGGCAACAAACCCAACAATTAATTAAAAAATATATGTAATGTTGTAATGCCCTCTTTTGGAAGAAACATCAAACTACAGATTTGACCGACTCGTCTTTGGAAGAACCACCTTATTTCAGTTTGTCTGTTTTAAATCCTCTTTTCTTAAGTAAGTGAGTAAGTACATTATTCCAGTCTGATTTGGGCGTGTAGACCTGTTAAGCAAGGTTGTGAATATTTCAGTGTCTTTGAGACCTGTTTATTTCAATGTGTCTGTGTGCAAGTGCGTATGAGAGACATTATGTTTATCAAAACTCTACCAACAAATATGTACTGAGTCAGTAGGTTTGGTCAATTAAAAACCTTTTTTCAACTTGTATAAATAAAAGTTAAGCATTTTTAAAGTATCTCAGTGGGCCCTATATTCTTATTACATTGGTAGAATGAATCCTAACTACTCAGTTAGGGTCCCCAGGCTAGTCCCTGTGTGCTACCCTCGGCTTATCTCAATTGTAACAATGTGTGTAAGTCCATTCGGATAAACGCATCTGCTAAACACATCAAAACATATCTACTGTGTTACACACCTCTTTTCCTTGGAGTGTGACAGTGGTCAATAAAGAAATTGTGAAATGATTTGTAAGATACATATCAGATATGTAAAGCAGGTAAATTGTGTCTCATTTTGCTTTTACTAAATACCCAACCTCTTGCAGCGTCTCTACATATAAACCATCTCCATAGCAGCACCCTGTTTCCCAGTGAACAAACATATTGACAGAAGAAGCTAAGTGGAAATTTCCCCACTGACTTTACATGATTAGGCTCTGGTGAGAAAATAATCTCATCTCACCTTCTCTGCATTTGACATTTAACAGACAATCTTAATTATTGGGCCACAACCTCACTCTAAAAGAGAGCGGAAGTTCATTTCAGTTCATGTTTCACAATAAGTCAGTTAAGTATGGTATTGTGAAACATGCTGCCTTAAAACATGTATGAGTACAGAAGAGTGGGTTTGCTGAACTGTATTAAAGTATGTTGCTTCTTTACTGTTTTGACTGCATGTGTTTTTCCTCAGTCTTGTTTGTGTTTAGCATTTAAAGTTGGCGATATTTCAAATAAACTAATTTCCATTCATTTTCTTAACTGTGGATTATGGAACTGAATAACTATTAATTATTAAGAGTTTAGTCGCAGTTAATGGTGTCAAAAATGCTACATGCTCTATTGAATAACTTTTATACTTGCCAAAAGTTGATTACTTCCACATCTTAAACAACAGGGCCTATAACAGTTGCCTATTGCCTATACCCAAAGACTGCAGTCTGATTGCTCTCATTATGGTTCTTCCATGAGTATATATATATACATGTATATATGTCTATGGGTTCTTCTATAAAAATGACCATTTTGCCCTATGCCAATCAAAACAGTTTTTGCTTCCCAAAAACGTAATAGCAGTTTCTTCAGGACTATACCTTTGAACGAGTCATATAAAAATGATCACTGGCTAAATAGTTTCTCCTTCCCACTCCCGCCACTCCCGTACGTCTTAAGGCGGAATTATGCCTCATTGTGGTATTTTTGTATGTGACGGTTATCCGTCTTCCAGCGAACTCTTAATGAATTTCTGGCGGACCAACCCTTTTTCCGGCACATAACCGGTCTCCCTCAGTGGGCGGGGCTAAGGCCGTGTTTGTGGGGGGAGCTCGTGACGAAGCCATAAGTGTGGCCGCTATGTGGATCAGATCAGCAGTGTTGATTGGTGTGGTCGGGAGTAGAGGACTGGTGAGAAGCATGGTAAGTACTCGAACATTTATCAAACGCTTTAGTGTTTCAACCACATAGAGTTAAAGAGAAAATAATGTACTTGAGCCTGCACGCTCCACAATGTGGAGGTGACATTTAAGACCTCTATTTTTAGCCGCGGTGCAGCAGACAAATGAGTCCGACGTTGTTGTGGCTAACAAGGTTAGCTTGAAAGCTTCAGACCAAAGAAATTCTAAGCCAAAGACGGAAACTAATCTTATTTATGGCTTAAGGCTTGAATAATACCTTTAGCTTTAATCCGCAGTTTGAATTAAGAGGTCTTGGTTTACGCTTTAATTTGTTATTCGTTTTATGTAATTAATGCTGTAATCGAAATACGCTTGTTCAGCTGTCACGTTATTGTTTAAAAAAACAAACACATTTTCCATATCTTGTCCACACTTTCAAAAAGGAAAAAAAATGCAGTGTCAGTTGCGAGGTTGTGACAAATTATGACATAAAATGGGCCAAAGTGCACTGAGCGTAAGGAGGATTTCTTAACTTGCTTGTCTTTCCTGTCGGTGGGATGATTCATTCAGTCATAAGTATGTTTGCCCTTTGGCATGTTCCCACAATCTTCAAGACGCACCTTCGTCGCACGATAATGTGGACTCACCTGTGTTCAATTTGCTCCCCGACCACTTGTAGTGTGCAAAGGCAGAGGATTGGCAAAGTGCCAAGACCATGTATGAGTTTTCAGCAAAGGACATTGATGGGAATGAAGTGTCTCTGGAGAAATACAGGTAATGCATTTTCATTACCCCTCCCCCCTTCTGTTAAGAGCGGCCTATTTAGTAACTTCAGTTTTAGTGACAGCAATGGCAGCTCTCATATCTTGCTTGATTAGCCAACAACAAAAAAAAGTTTTTCTTTCTCAAACCTCTAAAACTACATAAACTCACCATTGCGCCTGGTGTTTCTGGGAACTTGGCAGTCCTGTTCTAACCCTGAATTTGTTCTTGTTCCCTTGACAGAGGAAACGTTTGCATCATTGTAAATGTAGCGTCTAAATGAGGAAAGACCAAGGTAAACTACACTCAGCTTGCGGAAATGCACGCCTCCTACGCTGAGAATGGTTTAAGCATTCTGGCCTTTCCATGCAACCAATTTGGAGGGCAGGTAAGTTGGATGAACTGGTGGCTGCAATGTTCCTTTTGTCCTGTTTTTAGTCAAGTATTGAGGTACAATTCACAACAGTGCTTGAAGGGTAAATGTGAAGCCTTTTCAAAAGAGCAGTTTGGTTATTAATATATTTCTGCCTGGACTAACAAGGATGTGGAGTGAATTCTTGTATATTTAGTCTTCTTGGCATTTTCATCTCATAAATGTTCAAACTTGCATTCTATTTTGGTTGTTGTAGGAGCCTGGAACTGATGCCGAGATTAAGGAGTTTGCCAACTCGTACAAAGCTGAATTTCCTCTTTTCAGTAAGATTGAGGTCAATGGCGAGGGTGCTCACCCTCTATGGAAGTGGATGAAGGCACAGCCCAAAGGAAAGGGAACTCTGGGAAAGTGAGTCATTGACAAAACATTTTTTGTACCTTTTTTTTTTTTGATTAAAAGATTGGATATTTACTCTAGAAACAGTTGAGCAAAATATTGAACCTGTAAATGGACGATGGATGTTGTAGTTTTAAACTTTTCTCCTGCATTGGCAGATATTGAGTCTGCTAACTATTGGAATTGCTCTTAACCTCATTAAAGAACCAATGGATTGGCTGATGAATCTATTCTGATAATGCATTTTTATTTTATTTCCATCTACAGCAACATTAAATGGAACTTCACAAAGGTAATTGGTCGCTACTGTTTTTTTCCTTAACATAAAAAATTATGCAGAATGTTTTTATTTTCGAGCTCAAACTGATCTTTGTGTTATTTCCTCAGTTTCTCATCAACAGAGAAGGACAGGTGGTGAAGAGATATGGCCCAACAGATGATCCTTATGTAAGCCAAACTTAAGTTCAGGATATTGATTATGCAGTATCGTCAAATAGTTATAACCCAAGTTGATCTTAAAGAGAAATGTAATACTTTTTATTTGATTTGTTTCTCTGTGCAGGCTGTGAAGAAGGACTTGCCCACTTACCTGTAACACCGCCTTCTGTTTGACTCCTGACCCTTCACATGGACGAGAGGTCGGTCTGTGTGTGCGTCTGGACCAATGACGGCCCTGTCTGCAAACCCCTCATAGGGGAGGGCAGAGCCTGATGATCCCCGCGTGCAACTTATCTCCAGAGCGCACACAAACCAAACCTTCTATGACCATGTGAGGGGGGACTTGCTAGCTAGAATTTACAGTTCATAATATTTTCTAAACTGAGAAGACATTCCTCTATGTCATTTCTTTCTGTTCTTCCCTTACACAAATGCCAGCTAACACTGATTCTAAATGATTTAATTGTCACTGTTTAATGCCAAAACAATAATGTCATAAACTGGATGGATCTTTGCAAAAATTGTTGGTTGGTTGTATCAGTAAAATGGCTGACTACAACCAACAACTTGAATTGTGGAAATAAAGACCATCTTGCAAATATATTTCTCTCTTATTTATCCGTATAAGTCTTAAAGCTGTATGACCACACTTATTTTAGGTCGGACATCTTAGAAATTCATCAAAAGCATTCATTTAAAAAGGTTTTGGCTCATGGGACTGTGCAGCATTGTGTCTTCTTCCAAAGTACACACCTTCAGTTGCATTCATGATGAAACGTTTTTCTTTTTAATAAGGGAAGGGGTATACAACTTGTTTGCACTTCAGTTTTGTGTCCTCTAGCTTACCTTTCCATGCTTCACAAAACTATGTAAAGAAGATTATCTTCAGAGCATAACGTTTTGTATATGTGATATCACTTTATCGGGAACATTCCATAACGCCTGCTCTGCCTCCTTTGTAGAACATGGCCTCATTTTCACGATTTGATAATCAAATCAGCTCATTCTCACCAAACTGGAGTGTACTGATAAAATGGTTGGAAGTTGTAGGCTTTTACCAGCATCACCATAACCCTTTTAAAGAAGCAAATGTTCAGATAAAAGTATGCATTGGGTTTAGCAAGGAATACAGTATATGTACTATGGTGTTCAACATATTATGTTAAATTATTAGTGGTTTAATGGTTTAAATGTGAGGTCCAGTCTTTTGATTTTACTTTGCAAAGGCAGAATGTATGCGTGACAAAAGTGGCAGCTTGCTATTAAATGTTAGTGTTTATAGCAGGCCTTCATCTTAAATGGAAAAGCTGCTGTGGGCGTAGGGAGAATATGATTGGGGGGGTGGGAGGGGGGCAGAAATGGTCTGGGAGTTCTTAACGGACTGGGCCACCTTAAAATTTTGCTTGGGGAAAAAAAAAAGTTACATTGATAATGTGAGAAACTTTAATCTGAGACGACCAATGTCATTTAATGCAATAACATGCATGTACATATGTAACCAAATGGTGAATTATAACGAAGTCACATTTATTTTAGACTTCAACAAAGTAACCTTTAAATTTGTATCAAACCTAAAAAAAAAGAGAGGAAGAAAAACTGTCTTCTTTTGTAAAGATACATTGTTTAGACTGTATGAGTGTTGTTGCAAGATTACTTTTGTAATTTTGTAAACGATCTCCACTTCATTTTCAGCATCCTGTGTTCCTTCCTTTGTGTCATTGATTGCATATTCTTCCATTCCAGAAGTCTTTAACCTCTCCCCCAGTCCTGCCAGGCAGATGAGCTCTCCGTGCATATTGGCAACTGTTGCATTTTCTTCAAGTTGTTGTTGTGTATGTTTAGTTTTTGAACAGCGCCACTTGCTTGTTTCAGCTTATTGGGAGTTTCATTGATCTCCGCTTTTCATTGTCAGCTCAGCGGGCTGCCCCTGCAGCGCTTGCTCATTTGCTACTACTGAGCAAGCGCTATGGGGCGCAATAGCCCACCAAAACCTCAGAACCTTTCGCCTCTTTCGTACCAGCTGTGATGTTCATTCCGTGGCCCACCGACAAAAGGCCGCGACCCACCGAGGATTTCCCCGGGCAGTCCCATACGTAAGGCCAGCCCTGTTTTGGACAAAAAAAAGGGAATGTACGTTTATTTTTTTTATTTTTTTAGGCCCATACCAATAAAACAGCGTTCAGATATCTGAGACCAGTTACTGAGATGGTGTCACGCGTTTATACATTTGGCTATGTAGAAATAAATAACGCCGAGAGGGAAATGGTACATCCCAATCTACAACCGTTCCCCGCGAGAGTCGTAGCGGCACGCGCGCCAGCCGTTGCGTGAGGATGATGACGCACAGCGGCGGCAGAGATGGATCAGCACCGCTGGCGCTGAGCGTGAAACCCCGGCTGTCAAATTCCAGCGACAAACATATATCAATGGAGTGCTCGGTCAGCAGTTGCGACGGCAAATAGGCTGACATGGCCGCCCTTTTTTGAACCGCAAACCGCAGCGTCTGGCGTAGACCCACCGAGGTAGACCGGAGGGGCTGCGTGCCGTCGTGAGGAGGCGACCGGGAGATGGACTGGGGGACTGCGGAAAGCGACGATGACGGAAACACCAGCGAGGCAGCGGCCGCCGGTGCCTGCCTACAACTTGACCTCGGAGACTCCGGTTCGTATGTCTATAAAAAAAATAAAAAAAAAAAAAAAAAAAAAAAAAAAAAAAACACGACAAAATTCCATACACCTGTGTTGTTTTTCTGCCGGACATTCAAAAGCAGCAGGGGGTAAATGACGTATGCGGACAGCGTTCAGTACAGAAATGACTCCACATGGGAAAGTCTAAGGGACAGTTGCCACTAAAGATGCTTCCCCCGATGACAGTTTAGGGAAATGCGTGATGTTTCAATTAAGCTTTGCAAATGAACGATACATTGTTTGATTAATTAACAGTTCGAAGATTCGAGTCTCTGCTGCTCTCTTAGTGCCAGTGGCTCGCTTCAGGCTGGTGCGCATTTGGGATGTGTACACACAGTCTGCAGAGGGCATTTAGAATCAGCTATGTAAATGTGAAGCCACTGTTTATTTGTGCGATTTAAGCACTGGACGGGTACACGACCAACAGATGCTACACCTCTGTTTAGACATCTTAGCAGGGTTGGCCTCTGCACAACTATTACCAAACATGTTGAGCTCTTTGCTACTTCTGTCACCATAGTTCTTAACATCCCTCTCATCCCATCCTCTGTGAATCTGAAGAGTGCCTTATATAATAAATGTCACTTTAATCTCTGGTGGAAACGTTTTAGAAAGAAAGCAGATGTGGTGATTAGTTTAGTAGGTCCAGCTCTCCCTTGTATGTGCATTCCCCTGCAGTGAATCTCAGATGTTTGTACATGGATGATTATGTGGTTTGAAAGATCGTTTTTGCATTCTGAGAATTCTGAGAAATCAAAATGTCCCCCTGTGTTTAGTGTCACATTAATGTCACAGCAATAGACCGCCATTTTCTCAACTGATAAGGGAAAGATTTAATCCTCTTTACTATGACACACACATGCCTCAAGGCTCACTATTCCTAAAGCTGACAAAATGATGTTATTACACGATCATCAAAATGAGCCCTCACTGAAAGTTAATTTGCCAAGCGTTTTACCATTGATGCCATCCTCATAGATGGTCTCACTCATACTCATCTGACATATTTCTGTGAGGTTTTCCTGTTTGTTGCTGCCAGCTCAGTGACACGTTGTTCTGGCCTGACCCTAATCCTTCCCAGACTCTGTCTGTGGGTGCCTGTACAACACGCCTTCTCATTGTTCCGGTATTAATCTGCAGGTTACAGGTGTCTGCATCCTAATGACCAGCAGAGGCCTTTTTTTTTTACCTTAATGCCACAGATTGGTCACACATATTTTCCTATAAGAAAAAAACAAAATGTTTTCCTTTTTTACTTTATTGAAATTTTGGAGGCAGTTTTAGAGAGAGTTAAGAGGCAGCCATTGTTGTAAAATGTTGTGCAGTTAAAGGTGAAGTGCTGTTTATTTCTAATTGTATAATCGCATCTTTATTTTCCCCTGTAACCTTGAATATTTGATTAAAAACAAACACCCAGACCATAAAAAAGGGTTAATTCGCATTTCCACTTCAACCTCCTTTAACAATGAGCATGCTTTCAGTTCTGTCCTTTTCATGTTGAACTGTAGCAACCAGGGTCATCCTCTGACATTTAACCTATAGCGTCGTCATCAGTCTAACATTTTTAATTGCCCAGTGTTTTGCTTGTGACAAAAACTATTCTGACCAATTTCAGCCTTGTTATTTTTTGATAAGTGATACTCATTCCAAGGTTTGCCGGCCCACGCTCGTCATAGGAAGGTGAAAAGAAAGAATCCCATGGTAAAATTTGAAAGCTGATGTATCTTTGTGCCACACTGTAGCATTTCAGCTCACTGTTAAGACTTAAAAGTGGACCACTGTATGGTCCTACAGGCTCACTGTTCGCATATAAAAGTTCAGTTGTTGGAAGTGGTGTCTCACTAATTCCTATTTTTAGTTTGCATCGATGGACAGATACTAGAAGAGCCATTGTTATCTTTTTGTATGGTATTGTGTCCTGTCGCCCATGAGTGGCAGGCCCATCCATGCTGTGTGATTTAACATGGCTTAAAGATTACTCGTCCAAGCATAATCAGTGGCAGTTTTATCCCAATCTTCGCCCTCACAACCTGAATGTTGGTCTGATGGCGATTAAGTGGCTTAATAGGACTGTAAACTAAAAGGACCTGTCCCTTTTCCCATTCACTTTCTTCACAATCTCTTTCGTGCATACAAACACAATAAAGTTGTTTCCCTCATGTTGGTTGGAAAGATTCGTCCTAATCCCCTTGTGTGATTGGTTGGTGATGTCATCTGGAGCCCTCAGCCAATGGCAGTCTTCAGATTAGGGAGGAAGTCAATCCAATAGTCTTTTTTACCTTGCCTGCACAAATCTTCAAGTATCACTAATCCAGGAACAGAAAACATTTCTCTTTAAACACTGCGGTGGTCTGACTACTGAGTGTCAGAGTTTGCTCTTATCAGATTGCTGCAGTGTTTATTTGTTTTTTCCTTTCTGGATCATTACATTACTTTTAACCCTAAGACAGCGACCTCCTCTGCTGGTGAGTTAACCATTATTATCCCGAGGAAGCTTACTGAAAGCTGATTGAATAGCTTTTAGCTGCAGTGGGTATTGTACACAGTTCACTAAATATGTTCCCTTAAAGAAGCGATAAAATACATGGATCTTAAGGTGTTATGTGTTAATCTCGAAGTTAGTGGTAACAGGGCTCATTCATTCTTTTCAAGTTGTCTGTTTTCTGATCAAAGTCTGAGATAGTTGTGTTGGTAATCTGTGCCTATAGAGCATATGTAGGTAGCTTGGGCCCCATAAAGCAAAAAGCGAAGTATCGGAACAACAGGTTAATCTTTCTCATTAGTTTCTACTAAAATCGGTATGTATCCCCTGAAGAATCTAATTTAATGTGATCTAATTTCCTTATTATGGGTTTAGCTCGGTGGAGTTATACTCACCATTGGTGTGAGTCTGGTGAGAGAGCCACCATACCCTAACAAATCACTAATATTGCTAAATAATGTATTGATGTCTGCACCTCTTAATCCTTTTCTCCTCTGCCTTTGTCTACAGATTCAGCCAAGAAGACTCAAATAACAGAGGTGAAAGGCCACCCCACACGATACACCTCTCCGTCTCATCTGTCACGCTGGCTTCTTTTCTTCTTATTTCCATCTGTCTTCCTGAAATTTCTTGCACAAACTGAGTAGTACAAGGTTGTATTTTCAGAAAGTGTATAATTCCGCTCTCTGTGTTTGCCTGTTAAATCTGTCTTGTTAGATGCCATCCCCGTTTGGAGCAGACCAAGGCCGTGAGAAGAAGATTGGCCACAGGAGAGTGGATGCCTCTGGAGAGACAACATATAAAAAGGTAGGCTCTTGTGGTTTGTCTTTTCGATTGAAATTCTATTAGTACACTTTAATTTAGCTTAAATGTTCACTTCTCTCGACCCACACCTCAATTTTCTGTTTTTTGATTCCCCGCATACCTCCAGACCACCTCCTCTGCCTTGAAGGGGGCTATCCAGTTGGGTATTGGATATACTGTTGGCAACCTAAGCTCCAAGCCTGAGAGAGATGTGCTTATGCAAGACTTCTATGTGGTTGAAAGTATTTTCTTTCCCAGGTGAGTTTATATTATTGGGTGACACCCAATGTCTGTGAAGTGTCCTTTCTGTCTTTTAATCTTTTATTGGTCTGAATTTCTCCTCACAGTGAAGGAAGTAACCTCACTCCAGCCCACCACTTCCCAGACTTCCGATTTAAAACCTATGCCCCCATAGCCTTTAGGTACTTTAGAGAGCTGTTTGGGATCCGACCAGATGACTACCTGGTGAGACATGTTATTTCTATGATTCCTCAACAAATATTCAGTGTTTATGTATCGAAAACTCTACTTAACTGAATGATAATAGAACCCATTATCTGTCTGAAGAAAACCCACTCTGTTAATATGGTAGCAACGATATGAAGGTAAAAAGTGCAGAAAAAACATCTAATAGTGATACAAGGACAGTGTCTTAAAGGGATGATTTGCCATGTTGAAATGGCCTTGTGTAACACATTTAAGTGTAGTTAGCCCCTCACCTGCAGCGGGCATGAATCAGAGCTGTTGTGAGGGATTTTCATAGGGGAGCCACGCTAAAAGGTACTGAGGGTATAACAAAAAGACAACTCAAACTTTAAAAAACGTTTTTTGAAAGCTTTTTCCTGTAATAACATGTCACGGATATATTGGACTGTTAACTGTTATCATCTTCTCATGTGAACAACACCATGGTAATGTTAGACTTGGTAAAGTATCTTTGTTTTGTGAAATCCCTGTGGGAAGTATTGTTCGTAGTATTTCTGTATTTTGTTTAAATTTTGTGGGAATGATCAGGAGAAAACGTCACCCTTTCTATCCTGGGCAGCTGCGCTGCACACAGTGACACAGAGCATGATAAATATTGTTTAATTAAGAAAATAATGGGCAGCATTCTGATATGATAAAGACACATCTTTAGAAAGTTGAAGAAGCAAAGCTATATAGTACATTACAAAGTACATATATAGCTAAATAGAACATTATATTAGCTAAAGACTGGGCATTATCAGGACCATTATAAATGACAAGCTTCATTGCCTTTAAAAGTTATGCCTCTTTATCTTTCTAAATGTAGTATGTAAACAAATACTGCTTTGCGAATTGTTTGGGTATGATGCATGTCCCAATGCACACACACACACACACTGCATGCTTGTTGTGCCTTACAATGCTGCACATGTAAGCTCACATTCTTCCTGTGCCATAGAGAGATTAGCGGAGCAAAGCTTTTTTTTAACGTTCAAGAACAGGCAGGAGTCAGCCAGCACAGCTTGTTAGTGTATGCACTTTTTTGCTTTGCTGCTGGTCAAATAGATTTTTATCAGACAAAGCTCTTTAAAGTCACTGTACGTGCTTTTGATACTGGGGGAGTTCTTGCCAGTCAGTACAGTCCTCACTGCTGTAATGAACTCATTTCAGATGGCAGATGAAGTAATAGCTGTATTTGACTGACTAATAAATCAATCAAGTCTTATTGTGAGCTGTCTGTACACCCTCGGTCCTCTTAACCTAATGGGTAATGCTTTTTGAGTGGGTGGTTTAATGGTTGCCTGTTGGGATGTGTTTAATATGAGCATCTGTTGAAACATGAGATAACATTGATGGGCAGTTTAGCCATTCAAAACAGGTAAAGCTGTTATTGAAAATGATCGATAAATCTGGACCAACAGAGACATTTCGAATCTAACTTGCACACTTGAAGAAAGACAAAAGGTTACCCTCTAATCTGTTTGTCCTCTGTGTCTCCGTCTAGTATTCTCTGTGTAATGAGCAATTGATTGAGCTGACAAATCCGGGAGCCAGCGGCTCCATATTCTACGTAACACGTGATGACGAATTCATTATCAAAACCGTCCAGCACAAGGAGGCAGAGTTTCTGCAGAAACTGCTCCCCGGATACTATATGGTAACAATTCCATTCATGCAATGACATGCTTCCAATATTTAATGTGTCTGTAAGAAAAAGGGGTGCTGGGAGGGGGATGAGGCTGGTTGTGTACCTGAGCTAATGCGTTGGAGCAGTACTGCGACAGAAGTTTCTAGTCAACTTTATCCTCTTTATCCACTCTACTGGTGTTGGCCCTCTGCCAGCTGTGACGACAGTAGTTGGCTCTGTCATAGGTAAGAACAGATACCCACGCTAATTACCCATTCACGGGTCAAGCATGAACACAGCAGCACAGGTCTCTGTGGATAAGTCACGCTGTCTGGCAGGTGCATGCTTCTTGGGATGCAACATCAGTCCAAAAAACCACTGATGCAAACTAATTTGGTGTTTTTCTATTTTTCTTTCTCCCTCTCTGCTTTGTTAAACTCTTCCAGAACTTAAACCAGAACCCTCGAACTTTGCTGCCTAAGTTCTTTGGCCTCTACTGTGTCCAGTCTGGGGGAAAAAATATCAGACTTATTGTGATGAACAATATTTTACCACGATCCGTACGCATGCACCTCAAGTTTGATCTGAAGGGCTCGACGTACAAGAGGCGAGCATCCAAGAAGGAAAGAGAGAAATCCAAACCTACTTTTAAAGACCTGGATTTCCTGAGTGATGTACCAGAAGGCCTCACCCTTGATCAGGAAACATACACCGCTTTGGTCAAAACACTGCAAAGAGACTGCCTGGTGAGAAATGAGCACCAACTGTATAAGTGAGAGCAGAATTGTATTGTTATGGTTCACCTCTTCACCTCTTTGAATGTGTTTTGAAATATGGTTGTATTAGGTTCTGGAGAGTTTCAAGATTATGGACTACAGTTTGCTGCTCGGCATCCACAACAAAACCTTAGCTGAGAAAGAGCAGCAGTCACAGGGGTCGCCTCCAGGTGGGGAAGAGAAGAAGCCTGCAGGCCAGAGAGCTTTGTATTCCACTGCCATGGAGTCTATTCAGGGCGGCTCCACATGCAGGGACACACTGGACCACGATGACACGTAAGTCAGCAGTCTTAGTGCTTTTCCTGCTCTGAGATCAGATCCCCACCTGGTGCTAATATTTTTCTGCTGTCTAGAATGGGGGGTATTCCAGCTGTGAGCAGCAAAGGGGAGCGTCTCCTGCTGTTCATTGGAATTATTGATATTCTGCAGTCCTACAGGTAGGCCGGCAGTTTCTTTCTAGCGCTTTTAAACAAAGTGTCAAAGAAATGAAAACCCCACGAATTAGACAGGAGCAGAATGGCATTGCCTGTTTCTCTGTTAAAAGTGTAGTGTATTGTTCTAAAATCCTCCTAACTGAGATTTTATTTAGTTTTTTTACAATAAAGTCCACACAAAAACTCCACTTCTCTTAATTTTTTTGTTGTAATTTATTATAAAATAGACTGATATATCCCTGATCAAAGGCATTTTAACTAACAGAAGTGTTCATTTAGGCACATGTAAAGGACACAAAAAACAGGCCTGTTCTATTCATTATTTTTTCAGAAAACTGTATTATGATGAAAAAGATCATTAATTTTGCCTGAATTGAAACCTCTTTTCTAACAGACTGATTAAGAAACTGGAACACTCTTGGAAGTCTCTGATCCACGATGGAGTGAGTATATTTCTTTAACTATTTTGTAATTTGCCTTGTTCTTATTCAATAAAAGCCTTGTTCAATAAAAGCAAACCACTACATGTATTTTTTGTTCATTGTTTTATTTTTCTGAAGGTTGAATTATTCTGTCTTATTGCCGCTTACATTCCACCACAGGACACCGTTTCAGTTCACAGACCTGGTTTTTACGCTGAAAGATTCTACAAATTCTGCAACACAATTGTGTTCAGGAAGAGCAGCTGTAAGTTTACACGTGTAAATGAGCCATGTGCACAAAATTCAAAATTTGTTTGGCCATATTTTGCTCAACTCTGTTTTTATTTCGTAGCACTACGATCGTCTCCATCTAAGAGAGGCCGAGGGGCTCTGGCCGCGTCTAAGTCCAGTGCTGGAGCCGGTCCAGCTGGACAGCGTCCCTCCCTGAGTGAAGAAAGACAAGAAAACTTGGACAATTTAGAGAATCTAAGAGGAGTCCGCAACTTTCCTTTGCTTGATGAGAATGGTGTGACACTATCTTAACTATTTTACTGGGCCACCTTTCCTATTAATTAATGGAGGCAATAGTTTGCTCAAAAGAAACAAGTGAAACCTTTAATTATCCCACGTCTCTTTCACATATGTCACATGAGCTGTAACTGTTGTTCCTTCATTGACACATCGTAAGGGAGATGGAAACATAGGCGAGACAGGGTGTACTTCAAATACCGTATGTATAAGGACACGATGATGCAGGGCTAAAGCCTACGTTTCCCATGTGTGGGTTACAAACAGGAAGAGGAACTAGTCATTGAGAAGATCTTTTTTTTACGCCGAAAAGGTGTGAGCCATGTGTTAAAAAAGGGTGTCTGTGTAGATGAGGCAGCTGCATAACATCAAGAAACAGAGAAAAAGTAAGAAATAACTGACAGGCAAAGAGAAGCCATTCATAAACAATTCAGTCGTGTTTGATGTAAAGTGTGCACAGAGAGACCTTAGACACTAGCGTTTAATGGGCAAAGTTTGTAAGGCAAGGCAAGGCAGGTTTATTTCTATAGCACATTTCGTGCACAAGAGAATTCAAAATGCTTCACAGAGAATTTAAAAGCAGAAAAACAAGAAAAGAAAAATAATCAAAATTAGATAGATTAAAAGTGAAGGGTGCAGACAAAATACATTCAATTTCCATAGGCACAGTTAAACAGAAGCGTTTTCAACCTGGACTTAAACACTGTCAGAGTTGAAGCCTGTCTCACATCTTCAGGAAGACTGTTCCAGATTTTAGGAGCATGGAACTGAAATCAAGCTTCACCTTGTTTAGTTCTGACTCTGGGCACCAGCAGGAGACCAAAACCTGGGATTCTTAAAGTCCGAGCTGGTTCATATGGTTCTAACATGTCAGAAAGGTATTTTGGTGCTTGCCCATGAAGAGACTTGTACACAAGCAGAGCTGTTTTAAAATCTATTCTCTGAGGGACAGGAAGTTAGCCCCAAAGATTAAAGTTGAGATGAAGGTTTTGTGTATGATGTACATGGCTCATTATTGTAACAGATTTTTCCTCTCAGGGAAAGAGCCACCCTGCACTCCTCCTTCATTCGAAGATGCCACAACAGCATCTATAGCCACCACTCTCTCATCTAATAACTCCTTACCGACCACCCCTTTTGATACACCAGAACATCCACGTTTCAGGAGACAAATGCATTCCCCAAATGTGGCCAGGTGAGAGTTATTTCCTTAATTTGGAATGTTTTTAGATTATTAGAAGTCACGTACCTTTTATTCTGCAACTTTAATGTAGGTTTCTCTCACTGAATTTTCTTTGGTGAATTTTCAGGTTACAAAAAGAAGTTGTAGATGTACACGGTGAACGACAGGACACCATAACTGTGGAGGTGGAGCTTAGGTACTCTCATGAACAGGATGGAAACATATTTATTAGGGTAATGTACATATTTGTAGTTTGATGACAGCGTTCTCCTGTCTTGCTTCACACAGCAAAATCCCACAGAGCACAGAGCTCACTCAGATGACAGAAAATGCCTCTCTGAGCCAACAGCCACAGGATCGCCAGTCTTGTGTAGTTCCCTCATCTACTCCCTCATCCCATGAATATTCCTCCTCCACCCTCCCAGCTTCCTTTATGTCTTCCTCCTCCACTGCTCATTGTGCTGCCCAGTCCTCCTCCACACTTTCGTCATCCATCTGTCCATCCAGCAAACCACTTAGTTCTGCCACTGCCGCTCAGTCTTCCACCCTTCCCTCACCAGTCTCCCATTCTGCAGCAAAACCTCCCCCCAGCAGCTCAACGTCCGGCGCCTCCACCCTCCATCCTGCCTCCGCATTTACCCCCATCTGCCCCGCATCCACTCTGCCTTCCGACCGCGGTTCCTCCCAGCATCTCACATCCACACCTACCTCCTCCGTCCCATCAAGCCCCCAGGTGCCCCGGCCTGCACCACGCACCCAACACAATCAGCTTTCTGTGTCCAGCAGCCACAACTCGTTGGAGGGGGAGGTGCAGGTTTCTGACATTTATTTTGTAAGTTTCTATTGTTCTTTTTTTATCTGACTGTGTTTAAAGAAACATATTGGATCAGTTGTTTTGGAAGGCAGACGGTGCGTTCGAATATGGATCACTCTTTTTGCCTTCTGTTTCCCCTTCAAATTACTGGGTCTTTTGCAGTGGTCCAGTCAGGACAGCGTGGTAGAGTTATGATGGTGAGGCGAGCTGTGTGTAGCAGTGTGCACGCATACTCTTGCTGCCTAATACGCTTTTTTCCCTCCTGAAGCATGAGGCTGTGACTACTCGTACTACTTTTAGTTGTTTCAGCAAACACGGGGTGTGTCTCCTGCACAGCATGACGTTTAACTGTCAATCTGCTGTCATGCATCTGCTCAAAATCCGTCTATCAGCTTTCCGTGCGCCTTTTATTGATTTCTGTTGTTCCCATATTCAATCTTCAGTTTGCATTAAGTGCCTTTTCCAAAATACTTCTGCTTTTGGCAGAATAATCCATTCATGTTCCTTCATTTCTAACATGTGTACCTGTGTGTTCATCTGTGTGTGTGTTTGTGTCCAACCATCAGTATGCAGATGGCAGATACTGGGTGTACTCTCCGGTTCTTGGCCGTCGTAAGCTTAACTCTAGCTCAAGTTACAGTGTAAGTCACAGCCAAAGTAGTTAGAGTCATTTGAAACACTGAGAGATGTGTTGCTGGCAGTTGTTCCATTGTAGCCATCGTTGGCCTTGCTGCTAATGAAACTTCAGAAGACATCTTAAAAATAAAGTTAGAAAGTATTTCGTGTGAGTTATCAGCTGCTGATGTCTGCACAAAATGCCACTGTGCTGCTTCTGAACTTCCATCATCAGCATTTTTTGTTACAAATTGCCACTCAGCAGCCATTTGAATGCTTAGGATCTTAGATGTGAAGGTAGTTTAACCTGGCTTGAACTGGCTTTGTGCTTTCCTTTAATTTGTTGCCCTTTAGCTGACAAGATGGTTGATGTTGCCTTTGTCTCTGGATTATTAGTGTTGCTCTTTAGATATAGGTCTCTGTTGGGAGGGACACAGCAGATGGACATTCATCTTAAAGCGAGGCCATGTGCATCTCATAAATTTCTCCTCCTCTCTTTTCTTCTCTTGCTGTCCTCTGGTGGCCTCTTTTGACAACTGCAGACTCAGGAGGACCGGAGCTGGGTGTACTCTCCTATGCACTGCAGCTCAGAGTCCAGAAGGGGCTCAGATGGGGAGAGTGAGACAGTATGTGTACAGTTTTTTTTTTAAGATTTAAAGACAACTTAGAGAAAAGAGATGTGAGAATACGTTTTGTTTACTTTTCTCCATCAACTGCGTTTGACAGTAATCTCTTTTTTACTCGTTCCTCAGTAACTCACAGTGAAGATCCCAGTGATGGAGTCAGAGGCTGTCTCAAACACAAAGGCTGTGAGGTTTTAAAAAAAGAAAAAGAAAAACGCCAGCAGGACAATGAGGATTCCCTGCTGGCTGCTGAAGCTGCATGTGGAAGTCTGCTTTGCCAACAGCAACATAGACTAACAGAGGGAACTTAAAGGATGAAGAATTTCACAGTGAGAGTGCAGGAATGCATTTTTGACACATTCAAATGAATGTACTGACAAAATTATCATCACGATGGCAAACATTACCTCAACTCTCGGACAATCTGATTGATATCAAGCGGAAACGTAGAAATCACATGATAAAGTTCATCTAAAGGACACTGCTCCCACGTCTGGTGTCTTCCAAGAAACGTGGCCCATTTGCTCTGTTAGCTGCATGATGACTCAATGCCTAATGTATACAACATGTATAGAAAAACAAAGTTTAAATCCCGGCCCTAAAGTTTGTGCATCATCCATCAGTTTCCATTGCTGTGGCACGGTGGCAGGAAGTAAAGCGAGGTAGCCCAGACATCCTTCTCCCCAGCTATGCCTAAGCAATAAGGTTTAAGCAATTTTTCTGACTGACTCAGATGTAATTATTTCAGACTTTTTTCATGCGTTTATTTCTATCTAGGGGCATGTCAGATCTGTGTAATCTTATCCGTAGCACTTTATCAGTGTTGGTGTGGCTGAGGTCTTTAAAAACCTTTGTGTTTTAATATTTCGTCAAAAGAAACTACGACACAGTTGATGTTTTATGTTCTGTGTACACACAGGGATGTTATTCCACTGATATGTAGTGGTCCACTTAACCAATTTTAATCTGACAGCGAATGATTCTTATTCAAATTGCCTTACTTAGTAACTCATCACGATCGTACATTTTTTATATCTTTTGGCCTCACGTAATCACTGGCAAAAAGACAAAAACTCAGAAGTACGCACATGCAAAAATATTTAATTCTGAGTGAATTTGAAGGAAATTCAAAACATTATAAAACTAAATGGTGAAGAAATATTTTTGTAAATTGTTTATTTGCATGTGCAAAAGCACGTGGATGTAGGTCAGTATGTGCTGTTATTTTTCTGTGTGTGCATGTGTTTGCATGCATATGATGTGTGATGGATTGGGTGACACGTGTACGATTTTTTTTTTCTTCTGTCCGTCTTTTTTTATCAAACTGTCTCTCTTGTTGTTCTCATCTGTGACATTTTGAACCAGCTATTAGCATGTTGGCTGAGGGATAAAAAAAAACACACACTTAACCCAGTCTTTCAAATGTCAGTTGACTTATCAGAACGTAACATATTTCCATAGAAACTGTACTCAGTTGTCTATACAGTTTACAAAGTAAAGGCAGAAAGAGACTGCCATCTTACTTACGTGGTGATAGTTATTGAAATGAAAGACATCAAAAGTGGACTCCCTGTGTATGTAAGCACCACTGTACCATGTTATTGTATTATTCAAGTCAGCTGATGTTAACCTGCCTGTTTGTAGGCAACAGTGTTTGTAGCGTATCACTGTGACAACAGAATAAAATATATTGCTCTAATTAATGTTGTGGGTTTTATTGTATTTTACAAAGCAGCTGGATGTTTAATGTAAGAAACATTTTTTTTTGGAAACAAAAACTTCCCACCACCAGGTGGCTCTATTGTACCTGAGAAGACAGAAATCTCCATTCAGCCACCTCTTGATTTGAACACTGTAAACTTTACTGTGTGAGGGGCTACGGGTTATTTGGAAAAGCATAATTCTTAGTTGCATTTTTAAATTAAATTGCACAGCAGCATACGCAGGAATATGAGCCCCCAGTAAGTCATGATTTCCTTTATTGTGTTACTGATGGACCATAAAAGCAGGGCTCATATTTAACGCCTCATTCCTGGCGCCCCCACATTACTCTGACTCTTTAACACATAAATATAGAGATATAAAATTTATATTGCTTTGCTCAAGATGGCTTTTGTTAATTAACACAAGCTGAACTTCTACAAATAAGATGGCCGTCAAAAGATTAAATCAAGATTTCTTTAGTCTTTAATCTTGATTGCTTTGCTCAAGATGGCTTTTATTAATTGACAAATCAAGATTTCTTTAGTCCTAACAATTTTATTTTGTAATTCCTGTTTCTTACACAAACAGATGCCTTTAAATGCTTTCATACACAGTAGAACAATACAAATGCCATTAAATACGTCCCCGTAGGGAAATGGGCTGTGGATGTGTTTATGTGTCTTCTGTGTGTGCGTACATTGCTGTGAGGATGTGTGTACTTTACATGTAAGCCAGAGTTGCGAATGTCTCTCATCGTGACAAGTCGGCCGTGTCGACCCATGATGGAATGTGTGATGAACAAGGATCAGCAGCCACCTGACCAATTTGCTGGAATCCCACACACACACACACACGCACAGTCACTTACACATCATCCTTTTTGCACCTTGTCCAGACCATTCAGTAATTATTTTCGAACCTTTTCCGACTGGTTTTCCATCTTATTTTTTTTCCAGTGATGTAACTGCTTGACTGAACTGAGTAATTTCTAAAGGGTGGACCAGATCATAGTCTGAAAGTGCTCTGGGTAGATACCGTGAATAATTGTTTATAGCAAAAGTCTGACCAGATGTGTCTAATTACTCTTTGGAACAACGTTTCACACACTTCTGGTCATTACCAATTAAAACATGAATGTGCAATGCCCCAGCACCAGCTGACATCCTACTTCTTTGGGATGAGCACTTCCTCTGTTCACTTTGAGCTGATTCTACTCATAAGGATCAAAGATTCCATCCATCCATTGTCCATACAGCTTATCCCTAGCAGGGTCACAGGGGGCTGGAGCCATTCTCCCTGGACAGGTCGCCAGTTCAGACGTATTAATCAACAACTTAAAATAAACCCTCAGTGTTTACACTATGCATGCTTTGTTGAATGATGGATATTAAATTCCGGTTTCCATCTTTTTGAGCAAAGCGCTTTTTCATTTTTTTTTATCTCAATCAATTTTTAATAACTGTTTTTCTCCATTTATCTTATTTTTTTACAAACAGATTTGGAAATGGGTAAAAAAATTGTTTTAAAGTCTGTGAAATAATGGTGTAATAGTGTCATCAGACCTGAATCGTGTCTTCTTGCATGTTCTCCCAGCATCCACTTGAGGCTGCTCTGGTTTTTCTGACACAATCCAATTTCATGCATGTCAGATGAATTGGGGGACAGTATGAATATCTTTCTTTGTCAGTCCCCATTTGCACCCCCCACTGTCTGCCTGCATACAGCCATCACACACCTGTGACTTTGAATAGGAATAATGTCCTGATTATCATAAAAAAAAGACACACACTCACAATCAAAACTGCTTCATACAAAAAAGAAAGTAACCCCTTATAAAAATTGACCATTAACATTTTATCAATAAACTTCACGGTTAATTAAAATGAATTTAAAGAAAAATTGTGGAGTGGAAGCACCTGTACCTGAGGTGAATGGGTCATCTCAAAGCTGAGCTTTCATCTGCAGGAAATATAAACAAATGCCTTTGTTCTTTCAAAAAGGAAAGAGGGGCGAAAGCCACAACAAACAGGGCGGGTGTACCGTGTGTGTGTGTGTGCGTGTGTGTGCATGTGTGTGTGTGTGCACGTGTGCACGGGAAAAGAAAAGAGAGGGAAGAGGAGCGAGAGACAGAATGCGGAGACAGATCAAAGCAGGGGGTATGTTTTTGAAACCCTGTGTGGGAGGTGAAGCCTCACCTACCCAGAATGCTTTGCCTCACTCCTTCCAGCCCACTCAGGTTTTTCAGGAGCATCACTTTGCTTTTCAGCCAGTATGTGATATTACCTCTCCGTCCAACATTTCCAGTTCTTCTTAAAAGATGTTTTAAAGGTGATGCGATGGGAATAAAGTCACTTTCCGAGTTGTGCTGCATAACCTGCATCTCCCACACGCAACACTACATCTGAGCCTCCGTGTGTAGCGATGTGGTGTATTGAACAAAAAAGTCAGCAGAGTGAAGCACCTGAGGTCTCGGTTGGTGTCTTGGATGAATGGTGCTGAAGAAATTCCTACAACTTGGAGCCGAGCCCATCCCCCTCTTTTCCTGCCTCGCGAAGGAATCGAAGAACTTCTTTTAAACACAGCGTGAGAAGCTGCAACCAGATGTCTGTCTGTCCACACAGGGGAAATGTCGTGCCCTCTCACACAAACATGAAAAGCTGCGAAAGACTCTTCGTTGCGTTGACAGTGTCTTAAGGCAGTGTTTATCTTTGGCAGACTGAAGAAAACAAAGCCATCGATTTCTAATCCTAATCCCCTTCTACTGCTCCTACCCTATTGATCATCTATCCTTTCTTAATGAGATGTGGGGATAGTGCGATAGAGGGTTGATGAAGGACAAAACTTTCCCCAACAGCATGCTGTCTTTTTTTGCCTTTACCCATCTCATCTACTTTTGTCTATCTTGCTGTGGGACTTTCACTAAATTGCTGGGAGAGTGAAGTACAAATACAATCTGGTACTTTCAGAGAGGCTTGTCAGGCATGAAGGTCTGTAGAGATGCCGATATATCGAAATCTGGACGACATGGACGAATGCACTGACCAGAGAGGAGAATACTTGAATAGCCAGTGAGAGTGGCCTGGGTTTAAGTCAAAACTGTGTTTCTATTTCTGCTTGTACTGTGCTCCATGTTGTAATTTCCCTCAAAACTTAGGTGACTGCATTCATTGATTTGGAAAGACCTTGATTGACACTGAAAAACAAGCCTCAGCGCACTACTGAAGGCTGACTGCTTGAACCCTGTTTTACTCTGTACTTTCAAAGCTGTTATCAGTGCGGGAATTGAAAGGAAAGGAAATAATGAAGAAATAATGACCGCAAACCTTGTAAGAATCTTTTGATGTTCTCGGAACCTGCTCAAGCCGAAACCTGGTAGATGGTATCTGGAACGCCTGCTGTTATTAATGAAAAACCATAAAATTGCATTTTTGGTCGTCATCTCGTTGGATAACTCTAAATCACTGTAGTGTTTATCTCACAGTAGTATTTGCTTCCTTCCCCTTGCCACATCACGTTCTCTCTTCAGGGATCCACTCTGGCATGGACTCTGTATCTTAACTTAAGCTTGAGCTACAATCCAATCCAATCAAATACTATTGAATTATAGTCCTGTGAGTCTTATCTTGAATAAAAAAAAACATTGCTACGGTTGCAGAAAATGAATGATTTTGGATGCATGTCACTGCAGAAACGCAGCCCAAGGGATCTCTCTAAGTATTTCGTAATGGCTGTAGCAGAAATCATTAAAAGTAGGCTAATGTGTGTCAGATGCTACCTGTCCAGCAACAGCAGGGGAAAAAGAACCAGGACACGAGTGAGTGGCCAGCATAATGAGAGATACATGGTTTGCCAAGTTGGGCAGCTGCTTCTCTCAGTGGTATGTGTGTGCGGTGTGCGGTCCAGGTATAGGAATGTTGCAGGGATCTCAATCTTTTTAAAAAGTCACACTTTTGAGGACATGTCTTAGATGTAAGCAGAAAACGCAAGCATCTTTGCTGTAAACCATTTCATTTGAAGGATAGTATTGTATGTGGTATGAAGGAAGTATTTGTAGCTCAGGATGGATTTTCAGGAACTAAAGTAAACTGATGGTGTTCTCTGAAGTCATGGATGCATAACCTTGTATAAGTGTCTGTGTTTGGGCCTGTTGCTCGATTTTCTTTCTTTTTCTAATTATTTCCGTGTTCTTCTTTTCTTTTTCATCATATTTCTTCAGCAGCATCTACATATTCAGGCACAAAAACACACTAACACGTTGAGCACTCGGCCATCACACACATCAGGCTTACCGTGGGAATGCCTGTGGCATTATGTCAGTTATTGAGGTGTTGCTTTTAATCCTGAAACAAATCTAGACTTTGTGTTGCGGGCCTCAGTCTGTGTGCGCGTGAGCGTGCCCGTGCACAAAGTCCAATCTCGCACCTATTAGATCATGGCTGGCCGAACAGCAAAGACACCCCACTGCCACTCCCACATGGAAGCGCGGGCAGGATTAGCGAGCTCTATACACGCCCTAATCTGTGGACAAAAACACACAATCACCTCCCACTGTGACATGAAGACAGAGAGATTCAATTTGATCTGCCTTCTCAGTTTAACAAGAGTGTCTTTTAGGGTTAAAATGACAACTGCTCACTCTACCATTAGTCAGAGTGGATTCAGCTCTAAACTGTGCCCTTTCTATACCAAAATCAATCCTTTTTTTGACAACTTGGAACACCTACAGACCATGCCTTTGTTGCAGTAGATGCATTTTGTGTTACTGTGTTATCACAAGTTCCTTATCGCGAATCAATCCGTGGCAAACTGTAAGCCATTTTCTCTCTAAGGGAAATTTTCTTTACTCTTTCTGAATTTGCGTCTTATCCAGAGGTGGTCTTCTGCTTGACAAAACTGCTGCATGAACCTCAACCAGGTACTTTATAAAATCCAGTCTGGATTATATCCTTTCTGGTCAAGCATGTAATTCGTGATTCGAGACAGCTCAGACTGAGACAAAAATCGGTTCAATGCAAAAATGTGCAGTTTGCCGTAAACACAAGCAGTAAGAGTTAGACTAAGCCCTTGACTCTTTCACATGACAAACATTCTCACTGACCCTCGAGATAGGAAGTTTATTTTGCAGTTTGGCAACAGCAGTGTTTTCATTTGCTATCTTAAGCAATGCTGTTGCCCTGTGGAACACAAATCACACAGCTATGCTTGCAAAAGTGCAGGAAAAAAAACAACCAAAATAATGTCTGTGGGCAACAATCAATAGATCTAAAAATTGGTGATTCTACCATTTTTTGCTCTGAGACTGGGTTTAATACTAACTCTTTGCATCCAGTGCTGCCTCCTGCACACTATCAATTCTTGGCTCTCCATTTACCCAAAGAAGTACTTCAGAAGTTAAGAATGTTTTTGTCTAAGAAATCTTCTGTTCTGTTTTTGAAAGATCAACTGTTGTACCAAATGATTCTCAAGCCAAAACCCAGCATCTGAATGTGTCATTTTGGGCAAATCTTTTTTTAAGGGGTGCATTAAACAATGTCCTCTGCTAAAATAAAGGAGACAACACTGACAGCATGAGGAAACCACGAAAGTCAGTGACACACACAGCCAGACAGGCAGACATGTGAGCATAAAAACTCAGTTTAGAACAATGGGTTTGTAGACCCAATATCAAAAGCCACAAACATGCATTATATAGCCAAGTGAGAAACAGCAAAAACTGAATTTATCTTCTGTGTGCATTCCATTACTTTCTTCCAAGAAATATGACAACCTGTCTTTCTTTAGGAATGGTTGAGAGTGTTCGTGCATAACTACAAACAGTTACCTGCAAAATTTGGTGTCAATGTCTCTTTATGTGGCGGAGGATGTCTGTTTCATTGCCTGGAGGCGAGATGACTCCGTTCTTCTATCTGTCTTCCTTTGCGTGCTTCTTACTCAGAAGCCTCTGCCTCATTAACCACCATCAGCATTTTGTTTCACTGTGTGTTATTTGGATGAACTGAGAGGGAGGCAGGGAGCCATAAGTGTATGTGTGTGTCTGTGTGCCTTCATTTGTGTGTGTATATGCAAGCAACTCTCATTAAGCTGGAAAAACATTGACACAGTTGCCAGAAACCAGATCATATCTTCCCTCACTTTATATATCAAAGGCTTCCTCCAATCAACTCCCTGGAGTGTGTGTGTGTGTATGTGCAAATGTGTGTGAGTTCTTTTTATATACGTATATACTGTTTGTGTGTGTGGGGTTCATAGTATGAGACAGATGTTTGCTGATTCGACAAGATTGCTTTGCAAACTCAGCCCAATTTAGCCGACAAAAAGCATGATGCCACACAGATGCTTATAGTGACAGCCCGCTCTTAATTCAAGCCCCCCCAACATTTTCTTCTTTTCTCTTTTCCCCTTTGTGTTCTCTCAATCACAAACACTCAAACTCAACGTTGTGTTTGACAACACTACACAATTTCAGCAGGGTTTTCTTTTGGGTTTGTTTTCCTTCCTGTCTTTGCAGGCACACTCTGACTAAGTCTCAACATTCACAGAAGACGCTGTCTTCTGCCAGAATCATACACCGAATGCACTGAAAATGTCATCTGGTACATTAATTACAATATATATCTATGTTGTACCATAAATATGTTTGGAGCGAAAACAGATTAAAAAAAAAACGCAAAAAGATTTCAAACCTACAAACACAAATGGGTTTTGCATTTATTGCAACGCAGTATGGCACTCTTTACAGCATCACCTTAGTGTGTCTATTTTACAATTTACAAACTAGATTTTAAAAAAGGACCATAAATAAAATGTTTCATGTAGCTAGTTAAAAACGAGAGATATATGTACAAAGACAAGCAACTGCCATTCTAATCTAAATGTCTAATTCAACAGAAACAACAATTCATACAATTGAAAATATGAGAAGGAATAATAATAAAAAAACAAAAAAAAACAAAAACAAAACAAACTCCAGTTTGTTAGCACAATTGTCCCAGTATGAAACCAGTAAGAGCTTGTAGTGATACATTCAGTCCGGCTACTCCCACTCACTCTTTAACTTTGCATATTAAGATTACTTGATACAGGTAACTGACATGTTAACAGAGAAATTCCAAGCTGAATGCATTCATGCCACACGCACACACACACGCACACATACACACACACACACACACACACACACACACACACACACACACAGACAGGTAGACTGACAAACAAGCAAACATAAAATACATTTAATTCAAGTCAAGCATAAAGCAGCAAAAACAACAACAAAAAAACTAAATAAATTCAAAGCCATTTTGCTTATGCACAACTCAGCCTACCAAATGTAAAAAAAACAACAAAAAAACGGGAAAAAAGAGTTGAGTACAGGAGGGAGGCATCAGTCTAAGCTCTCAGAAGCTCATTGCTATCTGTGGTCACATTCAGATCATGGTTTGTAAAAAAAAATTCCACTGGATGGAAGTCCACAAAAGTGCTGCTGTTCTTGCTCCTCCCGCTCTTCTCCTTCCCCTCACGGTTTCCTTCACTCCATGTATTTCCACCGGCGAAAAGTTTGTATAAAGTGCACGGATGAGGTAAATGAAATTCTTCTCCAAACAGGTGTGTGACTGTTCGGCAGCTCAGACTGGAACCATAGAGTGCTGCATGTGTTGCATTTGAGACAACATTTCTTGCTGCACACTCGCAATTAGTATGTCCTGGTGTGACGGTGTGATAATCCCCAGTCTGTCCATCTCCCTGTGGGTGTGCAGACAGACAGATGTGGTTAGACAGTCTTTAGAGGATAAGGTCAGGGGTTGCTAACATAGTCTATTATGAAGCTTCAACCATAAAAAGAGACTATGCTGCTTTTTCCATTTTATGGAAATATATTTATTTGACTCCATTCACTCCTCCATTTGTCACAGGTGGAGTACCAAAAAAAACAAACAAAAAAAACAGTATAAGGCAGTAAAAGTGCTACGCTTGATTTTACTCTAGAGCTTTAACCCTTTAAAGCCTGATCCAAGCATAAAACAAAACAGATAATTACTTTTTTTGGTTTAAAGTCTTTATTTGGCCTTTTAACAAAATATGTAAAAAGAAAAAACAGAAATACATTTTTATATTAATAATTTTTTACTATGCGATATGTCAAGATTATTTTTTGTGTAGTCTTCTGCCCCCTGTTATCAGGTGTATCTGATTGTGTACAATAGGATTTTGAGCAAAGTTTTTATCATTAAATTATGCAAAAGGTGTCAGATGCAAAACATTTCAGAAACCGTATGTATCAAATATGATACATTTGGCATTTGGCATTTTTGGAATATAATAAGTAAGAATTCTTAACTTCAACTATAGTAGAAAAATTAAAAAACAACTGCAAGTGAAAAGGTAAATGCCAAAATCTGAGCCCATTTACACCTAAGGCTGAACTGAAGCACTTTCGGTAAAACCTTAAATGGCTTAAAGGACGGTCTGTACGTCAGAATTTGATTTTTGTACATCTTTATACGTGACATGAAATGAAAAATATTTCTTTCACAAGGTAATTCACTTACTGGTGTGTGAGAACCAGGAGGCTGTCCAGGCTGGTGTAACCGGCTGCTTTAAGGGTGTCCCTGTACCTCTCCAAACCGACGGACTGCAACCATTCACACACCGACCACTGTGGCACGCACATTTCTGGTACGACTGACACACACACCTCTGAACCCAACGCCGACTCCAACATTGCGCCCGACGGTCTGTAAAAGAACACACAGCACACAGTGAAGCGGTGATACGACATCCTAATTGCGAACGGGTGTATTTATCACTTTCTGTGTTAGGGGTTATGGTTAATAGAGTTTTTTTGTTTTTATTTTTATCCATGCGGGCTATGCACCTGTCTCCTCCTGTGCGGCGCAGAGTCCCCGGGTTGCGGATGAGTTTATCCAACATGTTGAGGATCTGGCTGAAGGTGGGCCTCTCTGCTCGATCTCTCTCCCAACAGTCCAACATGAGCTGGTGCAGTACCACAGGACAGTCCATGGGAGCAGGCAGCCGGTAGCCTTCCTCTATGGCTTTGATCACCTAAATGAAGGGCATGAGTGAGGGATTTGCGCGTTCATCTTTTTATCCGGCACCAGGTAGAATTTTCTGAAGCTTTCTCAGGGTCAGAGACGTGTGAAGGGAAAAAAACCAGAGTGGCTTTGCTTTCAGCTAAATATTAATGCTGGCAACTGACGTCTAACCATTGCCAACGACAATTCAACTATCCTGATTTTAAATTAGTTGAATTTCAGTAAGATCAGAGTAATCTTTCAATGACATCATGCAAACTTTGCCAATGGCGCAGATATTCTAAGGACAAACTGAGACCGCCTTCTGCCTCCGTTAGTATGAAATCTCTGGGAACCTGGACTCTAAAAGTATGCGCAAAAAAATCAAATAGTGCAACACTATGCAGTGTTGAGTTGTTAAGTGTTTATTTTGCACCTCATTAAATCTGTGTGCTCCATAAAAAAAAACGCTTGTTTTCTAGGTGTCACTGGGGCAGCCAGGTTTCTTAATCAATTTCCTTATTTTTGTTCTCAAGGCCTCTGTAAACTCACTGCCAGCAGCTGGTCTGAAGTATTTGCAGCTGGAAATCTGTTGTACACACTGATAGTCAATCGAGCAGATGCTTCAATTGTCTTGCATGAAAACACCACATAAAAGTATGGGCTGAGGAAGTACACTAAAAACAAAAATACTGGCTCTTTATGTGCCCCCTTTTTTTCGGTTCTTTCCTAAACCAAAGCCATTTTCACACAGTTAACAGGCTACAATTCCACAAAAAGGAACCATTGCTTGTGATGCATATTTACTCTAAAACAAGCCTATTCTTTCAGATCCAACTAATGGTTAAAATGCAAGCTATGTCAACTAGATGTATTCAGTCTGAGTACTTGGTTCATGAATTAAACAATGCAGAGCATCAGTCAAGTCTCACCATTTATTTTCAACAAAACGTCATGTGATTGGTCCGCTAAACCTTGGCTTGACGCCCTTCCTACAAAAAGTTTCAAGGCAAAGCTTTAGCCTTTTTCTTAAACTGTGGAGGTCAAAGACTGATCAGAATGCAGGACACAAAGTACAACATTTATTGTTCTCAATTATGCTAAAGAAGTGGGACTGGTTTAATTTATTTTCCTATTTAAATAGACTCAGGCGAAATCCATTTGGAGGAGCGAAGAGAGGTAGAAGTTTGATTTGAGTGCAAAAGAACATCATAACATCAATCAAATGTTAATGAAAAAATGCCAAGAAAAGTTAGCTCTGAGAACACTAAAGAAAGACCAACCAATAGTTTACATAGGTGATAATTATCCTGTACCTGAATCTGAATCTATTATGTAGATATTTCTGGTATATCAGTCATATCTGTTCCGTTTATCAGATATTGTTTCCCTTCTGTTTATGAATATGAATAGAAATTTCTTATTATTTTTCTGTGATGGATCTCTCTGAGTACATAGATGACTCACATCCTGGTTGTTCATGTCCCAGTAGGGTCTCTCTCCATATGATACCACCTCCCACATGACAATGCCATAACTCCACACATCACTGGCGGTGGTGAACTTCCTGTAGGCGATGGCTTCTGGAGCCGTCCACCTGATGGGAATCTTCCCCCCAGGAGAAAGATAAGAACCAGTTGCCTCCTGAAACAGCAGAATAATTAGTTCAAATGAAAGTTTGTCTTGTTTCTTTTTTCATAAATTAACTTAAGTTGGTCATTTTCATCAATTCAGCCTTTTGAAACAACGTAAAAGCTACATCGTGTTTGTCTGTTTACCAGATTCTGTTGCATCTGTTTTCAATTAATCATATCTGTTTCTGCATTTAAGCATGTGTGGACTAGATTGTGAAGATTTAACAATAACAGACAGTTAATATTAGCATAAACAAGAATAATTCATTTTCAATGAGGCTTATAGCAAAAGGAAAAATACTTTACACGTGCTTGCATCCAGATTAAGAGATTTTCTAAGTATTCCTCACCCTTGTAGTGTAGGCGGCTTCGGGGTCGTCCTCCAGAACTCGACTCAGGCCAAAGTCGGACACTTTACACACCAGGTTGCTGTTGACCAGGATATTTCGAGCTGCCAGGTCTCTGTGGACGTAGCTCATGTCGGACAGGTACTTCATACCTGAGGCTATGCCACGCAGCATGCCCACCAGCTGGATCACTGTGAACTGCCCGTCATGTTTCTGAAAAGCACGTCACAGTAGGATAGGAGGGTCAAAATGGGCTAACGCACTTTCAAAAAAGTTCCTCTAAGCTTAAGTCAGGATTCTTTTCCGACTTATTCTGTTACAAAGAAATGCACATACACGAAGAAATGAATCCAGCGATCCATTTTCCATGTATTCGGTGATGATCATTAACGGCTTGCCTATAGGGAGAAATCAAAATATATTTTGTTAGAAAACTGCCACCAGGGATCATTGGAATATCTGAACAATCGGACTCACATCTCGTGACCACGCCCTCCAGTCTGATGATGTTAGGGTGGTCAAACTGCCCCATGATGGAGGCCTCGGATAGAAAGTCCCTCCTCTGTTTGTCCGAGTATCCCGCCTTCAGGCTCTTGATGGCCACATAGATCTCCCTCTTCCCCTGCACACGCAGCCGACCACTGCACACCTCCCCAAACTCTCCTACTCACACACAGCAAAATGGCACCGTCAGCGCCAAGCAAGCATGTGTGTGTGGGTTTGTGTGTGTTTGAGCGCCAAAGCCAGACTCACCCATGCCAATAACCTTCTCGATGTGAATACTGCTGACATCAATCTCTTTGGCAAACTCGTGGATGGCCTGGTCCGGGTCTTCGTAGGTAAACGGGTCCACGTAAATTTTGACTCCTGCCATGGAAGAGATGGTGGGCGAGGATGGGAAATGAGGGAGGAGAGGGATGAATGCAGAGGAGGGTGATAAATAATGCGCGTTGTGTAACTGAATATGTTATGTAAATGTCTTGGAGAAAGTTTGTTTAATGCGTGTGCGCAGGAAGTTATGAAAGGAAAAAGGAACTCTCTCAGCTTGTTTCTCCTTTGTGTGCAGTACCTGGGTTCAAATGTTTCTCCTCCTCTGAGTCCTGCTTTGTCTTACTGTACTTGCTTCTCCTGACAAGATATAAATGACAGGCATTTAAAACAGAGATGAGAAAGATAAGCATGTTTGTCAGATGATTCCTATAATCCCATAATTATTCCTATAGTTATTTTTACATTGATATGAAATTAATGAAGGGTCCATTTTTCTCCCTGGTGTTCACTTTGCATGTTTTTTCTCTTTAAAAGCGGCCCATTAATTTGGTTTTTAAGGATTCGCCGCAACAGAAGGCAATGACATCAAGAACAGAGAGCGACCGGCTGCAGGGAAGCTCAGAGCGAGCAGATGAAAGCATCTCAGTCAGAGAGGGAGGAGGGGCGATGCCTCAGGTAAGGCGAGATAAAAGGTGTTTTCTTTTAAACAAAGAAACTGTCAAAAACACCTTTGTGGCTGGGCAGGTGTGTGTGTGTGTGTGGGTGAATGTGGGTGTCTGCGGACACCTGCGCATGCTTGCAAATGTGTGCACGGCACGCCGGCGGAAGCTGACACACAAACTGCGTAGCTGCAGACAGTAATGACATGTCAGGGACAAAGGGATTATCACTGTCTCCACTCTAATCCCCTTTAAAAAGCTGTGCAACGCACACCTACACATTTGGTTTAGCAACACGATATTAGCTAAATAATAAGAGTTAAAGGTGTGCATCCTGCAGTTTGGTCAAAAGCTGCAGTTACAGGAATGGCTGCACACACATTGACGTCAGTAACCAACCTAACAGGTCTGAGAGGCGTGTTGGCCTGTCTGTGTGGGATCTATTTGGAATGGGTGTGTTAATACCTGCGACTGATGATGAAGACAGCTGCCGATATCAAGAGCAAAATTCCAACGCCGCTGACAGACAAAAGCAGGAAGGCTGAGTTAACTCCTTCTCCAATCAGAGGGAACGGATCTAATGGGAAGAGAGGAAAGCCAATGAATCGATCGCAATAGCACGAGTGCATTTTTCTGCAAACTGCTGAAGGTTACCGTCTGAATACCTGAATTGGTGGAAAATTCAAATGGGGCACTGTACTCTCCATATCCAGCAGCTGTGCGAGCACGCACATGGAACACGTAAACAGTGAGGGGGTTGAGACCCGTGACATCGACACTCCGCGAGAAGGTCCTCATTATGCGGTAGGACCTTTCTCTCTGATCCTGATTAGAGAGGACAAAAAGAGGGGCCTCTTTTCAATGCCTGTCAGCGAGCGCATCCTCAGCATCGGCCAGATAAAAAACAGCTTGCAAACATTTGACATTCACACACGGCTGCCTGAGCCGCGCGAACCTGTGGGCAACTCACCTTTTCATAGAACTTCACCTCGTATTCCAAGATGACCCCGTTGGGTCGATCGGGCTGTTGCCACGACAACGACAAACTGTGCCTAGTGACATCAGTGACTTGAATGGATGACACAGGAGAGGGAGCTGAGAGGGAGCAAGAGATTATTTTTTAAAAACGAAAATGTTCAACATGTAATCATTCAAGTTGTATATCTAATAATAATAAAACATTTTAATAATAAGATTTTTTTGGAGGGGGGGCTATCTCCATTTTGGGATTGACAAATAAATGCTGCATGCAAGATGATGGTTCCACAGTCAAAAACTGGCTAAAAATTTATGTATGGCACCTGTTTATCTACAAACCAAATGACCCAGTGCACTTGAGAAGTCACCTACATCTCTCTCTCTCCTTATCCATAGAGACAAGCCTAATTTTTCTGTCTCTCATCTTACATCACGTATTTTTTCCCCTCCTTTTATCTGTGTCCTCCTTTGTGGCTGTTCATTCGATATCAGGCCATATGGTGGTGCAGGTTGGACTTGAGGCATCCCAGACACACTCTCGTGCTGCGCGCACGCAGCAGCTTATTTCCCCGGGGCACCTGAATCTAAGCAGGTGTTCTGTTTTTCTAAATGCCACCATGAAGACATAAAGCTTGACAGTTGAGACTTAACAGCAAGCAAAAAAAAAGAAAAAAAAAAAGGGCCCTTAAAAACTAATGGGGACCATGTGCGAGGAAAACCATACACCAACCTACTCCTTCAATAGTAAATGAAACACTTCATAAAATTTTGGGAAAAGTGCTGTTGCTATGAAAAACCCAACTTTAGGTGCACCGCTTCTATCAAGCCTCAACTTCTTATGTTCAATCATCTTGCATTTGATTATTAAGATTTGCCTTCTATTGCATCTTCTTCCCCTTCAACCAGCTCTCTCTCTCTCTAATTGTATTGAAGTGAGTGATTTACAGTTGCCGGAATGCTTTCTGACATCCTCTTGAGAGCACCCCTATAATTAATTCAGTTGTGGTTAGGTGTAGGAGGACAGAGTAATAACTATGGCAACTATGACAGTGATAGTAAGAGCAACAGTTTCCAGCAGAGGGAGAAGGAAAATTGGAAACTAAAAGAAAATGTGAAAGGGGGGGGACTCTTTACAGAATTATATCCAAATTTGATAGATCTAATTATTCCCCATCGGAAACATTTAAACTTTAAAACTTTTCAATCAGTAAAACAAGAACATGTTGAGTTAATTGGAAGGTACTCTAACGTTAAATGTATGTTAAATGAATCCCATAGAGACATAATGATTCCTTTGATGGAAAAATAGGCTGTATACTGTATTCATCATGCAGCCAAAAATCAGGATTGTATGTTTAATGTTGCCATGGTTTTGAACATTACTTATGGGGGCCAACAGCTTGTACACAGCTGACCCACTTATGGACCGCATCTATGAGCACATTTTGGGTTGTTACTCTTGTCTACCGTCACACACATCTGTCACACACAGGCGCTTCTTCTCACCGGCTTGATTGGTTGTGAGGCTGACAGACGCGCTCTGCGACGCCCCTGCGCCGCTGGCCTGAGAGACCCCGTTGCGCGCGAAGACGGTGAAGGTGTAGTGCGTGTGAGCCCTGAGCTCGCTCACCACCACCCTGGTGGTCTGCAGGCCCGTCTGGCCGGGAGAGAAAAGCACATCTGCGCCGCAGGGCAGGCACAGCTGCGAACTGGAGATGGAGCCGAGGCCGGGCCGGGGACTTTCCGCAGGCCTGCTCTGGAAGACCCCCCTGCCCGGCTGGACCTCAGGTCCCACGATGCCCTGGTCGGACTGCATCCCCACGCCGCCGTGCAGAGAGTCGGACCGGGAGACGCTGCGATTTCTCGGGACGGCTCGATTTTCAGTCGGACCGTGTCCCCTCGTTTGACAGATCAAACACTCCAGACTATAACCGGTGTCGCTTCTTCCTCCCAACCGGCGGGGGGGGGGCCCACTCCAGGACCACCGATGTCTCGTTCACCACAGAGATGAGCTGCTGTGGGGCCGACGGTGGCTCTGAGGAAAAAACCGTGAACAAAGCCCACCACAAATAAATGTAAACATCACACGTGGAAATATGGAAATACTCTATAAGTGTCTGGTGGGGGAATTCTTTTTAAGGGAGGGGGGGGGATTTTGGCTTGATTTGTAGACATCTGGCATTTCACTCAAAACCATATGGTACTGAAATGTTTTTGATGGCTTGGTTGTTTTCTTCTGTGGCATCATTTTGTGTGTGTGTGTGTGTGTGTGTGTGAGAGAGAGAGAGAGAGGGAGAGAGAGAGAGACTTTGTGAATGTGTGTGTTTTCATTTTTCCCAGGCCTAAGAAACCATGTGCTGTATATAGGCATAATCAAGTTTAAGACGCACCAACCAAGGTCTCCGAGGCTGAGAGAGAGAGAGTAGGGACATTTATTCACTTCTGAATGTCTTCAGTTATCACCCGTAGACAGGATGTAGATGGTAGTTTAGTCATAAGTAATGGGATCATGAAACAGGGGTGGTATTCAGATACGTTTGTGTGTCTCTCTCTGTTTGGAATAGATTGAGAGTTTGGGAAACAATGACCAGGCCTTCTGTTTATTTGGGGAAGAATGCATACACACATTGTTCGTATTTTCACATCTGCCTTAACTGTTTGTGTGCGTCTGAGTCTGTGTTCTTACGGGTGCAGGCCATGGAGGGAGGGTCCGCATCAGCTCGGAAGAATCCGGAGTGACAGTCACACACATTGGCCCCATCTCTGAGCGAGTGGCTATGTGGAGGACACTTGGAGCACCCAACATCTGAAGATTTGGCCTTATAGAAGCCAGCAGAACACGCTGCGGAGGAGGGAAGACAAAAAGAAGTTGGTAAAAATTGTAAAACAAAACAAAATCAAGTCTTAGCAGAAATATATTTAAATGTATCTCTGAATTTAAGAGACAATATGATAACTGGAAGTGAAACCCTAACATATTACAATTTCGTGTACCAACATTTGTCTTAATTCTTGTGCTGCAAACTTTGACTTAATCAACAGAAAACATTTCTGACAATTCCGATGACAGATTGACTTCATTACAACAAAACGAATTTTTCCTTATTTTCCTTTAAAGCAGCTTAAATCACAGTGAGTAAGTACCTATAAACCACCTTTCCACCTTTGTTGGCCCTCTTTGTGTTTGTCTTTTTAAAAGTATTGCTATTTCAATGACACATTGCTAAATAATATGTAACAAACTGAATATTTTAAAGGGAAGATTGGGTGGGAACCGCAGAGGATGAGGGTGTGACAAAAGTACTTCAAGAGTAGAGTCATGTTTGAACCTGAAACAGGAAAATAAGCTGGGGAAAAATGAACATGATTCACAAACTGATGGTAGAACCATGGACAGTATAAACCGGTGCTTTTTTGGTATGTTAAGAGTATGGTATATCCAAGCTGACCTGGACACTGGCCATAAGATAAGGTGTAATGCACCCTGTGCCAGTCATATTCAGTCAGTGTAATTTTATTCTTTGAAAGCCTTGACATGTAAATCAGCATTAGATGCATTTGGAGTCATGGACAAACAACTGTAAAGAAAGATCTTGAGAGAGAAAGGAGATATAGTGTATGGGGGAGGGACAGTTTGACTTCTTTTATCTTAAATTTTGATGAGGGAAGAATGAAACAACTAAAAGAACATTTACTGATCAGCTCCCACACACACAGAGAACAGAAACCCTAGAACTGAATACATCAAAACTCTACAACAGCCCACACAAACATAACTGACATTTAAATATATAAAAGAGGAAAAACACAGAAAGGGAGAGGGTGACAGAGAGACAGTGGGGGGAGGGGAGGGAGAGAAATCTTCTCTCCGTGTGCCGAAGAGTTTGCGCATTGACAGAGCAACAATACAATAAATGAGTGCATAATTATACTGCTTGACATCCACTGGTGAGGCAAAATAGATGGCAAAGAGTGGTTGGTTCGAGCAATTTTCCATTTCTATGTTCAATCTGAGAAAGAAATTCTTCATTTGTTTCAACGTCTTCTTTTTCATCATCACGTCTCATTCATTCAGAGTCCTAAATCTCCCCATCTTTCCCAGTTGCATCCTTTTTTTTCCACCGGTCCTTTCACATATCCAAGGGAGATGAAGACATCCCAATGGGAGTGGATAGGAATGTGGGAATGATGTGTGCGCATTCAAATGTGTCAGAGTGCTTTATGACACTCTCATCAGTAAATGAGAGGGAGGAAGTCTCCTCTGTAATCTACTCAGACCAACCATCCTGCCCCATCTGTGTGAGCCTCCACAGATTTGCTCTTTCACACACTCATTTGCCCTCCTTTTCACATTTCACAATCTCCCCACATTCACACCCCCTGCACTTCCTACTCGACCTCCACTTATCGGCCTTTGTGTCTCTGATAACTCTCACGTGCTCGCTGTATCTCTGTATTCCCCCTCTCTTCTCATGCTGTAGATCCACGAGGAGGCTTTGAAGCTGCCGAGCATCACTCGCGGCTCCACATCGATACCGAGTGTAATGAGGCCGCACACACACACACACTTGATACTGAAAGCTACGCGGGCGAAACCTGTAAATTCATAAACACATTTACAGCTGATAAGACTAGCTTTTATGCCGTAAATGATTCACCATATCGTGTCGGAAGATATCATTTAATGGGAGATAAACACAGTATACTGCTGTTCTCCAGCTGTCCTGCACATTCCTTTGTTTTCTTTCAGCAATGTGGGTAAGTAAGCCATGGGTGGGAAAGACTAGGAATTAAACAGAGAAAGACTTAGTGAAGTATTTGAACTGTTGAGGACTTCGAGGTTGATTACAGGACTCAACAAGAGTCTGCCAGGGGGTAACACACTGCCTTTGTCTCCGTCCCATCCAAATCCCTCTGCTTGCCTCCGCCACAGAAGAGTGAGGGGATGAAGAGAAAAAAAAGGTATTTGAAGCCATAAACTTCTGTCAGTGCCCTCTCATGTCTCTATTATCTCTGTTTTCTGTAGCCTTTTGTCTCGTCTTTAGCGCTGGTTTTGACAGGGGGGGTGAGTTCTGGTGACCTGGAATAAGAGCTCATGAGGGCGTCATTACCCCCCATTAACCCTACGCTAGCAAGGACCGTGCAAGAGCCCGAGCTTGACCGGTGAAGTGGGAGTGATGGGGAAACATTCAAGGAAACTGATAATACAAGAAAGGTGGAAACTTGAGTGGAAGTGTGTCAGCCTGAGAACACATTCATATTCTGCCTGCTTGAAAATGACAATAATTACCCCCAAAATCAGCTGTTTGGAGATTGTAAAAGATGGGGAAGGTTGAGTGGGAGAGACAAGATGGGAGAGAAATGACAAGGAGCTAGAGATAAAGAGGTTAGGAGAAAAAGATGAAATGAAGATGGGAGGAGGAGGGAGCAACACGGAAGGGAAGGTGCCCTTTGATTATTATCAGCACTGTCTGCATTTGCATATGCATTCTTCTGCTACCTAAAATGCAAATGCAGCTCATTGCAAATCCAACTAAAAGCCTCATTGGCACACTGTATGCATACATGTGCGAGGGGAGTGTGTGGGTTCTCCTTGACCCCGTGTTATCTGTCATCATCCCTTGTTCTTTCTCAGCAGAGGGGTGGAGATGGAGGAAGTACCCCTGACTGCTCCAGTCTGACACCTGTCTGGGTAATGGATGGAGGGAGGGACAGATTGATGGATGCATGGATGGATTGATGGACTGTCACACAAGAAGGAGGGACACTATTAATCACTGGGGTCATGCCCCTTCTAATTAAAGCAAACGGAAACGGTGGCCATAATATTTAATATCAACCTCTTCTTCCAATACATGCTCAATGAGGGGGGCTTGTTTCCTGTGTACCGAATTTATCAAAGCTTTTGTTCATGAACTAGAATGTCAGACTACAAAGTAGTCTGAAATTTCAGACTGCTTACTTTTGAAGGGATGGTGGGGTTTTTTTGCCCTCAATGCTAAAGAGAGAGACAAAGAAATTAGGGGAGAAAGACTGGGAAAAGACATACAAGAAAGATTGACACAGTTGGGATTTCAACCAGTGATCACTGTATATCGGCATTGCCAATATGGAATGCGTTCTGACTCGAACGCGGAGCGCCAGCAGAATGCAAACACTTACGAATCCCTCTCGGTGGAAGCTGCCGCTTTAGGTTTCACCAAAGTATTCACAAAGAAAGTGGTGGTTTGATGAGGAATGTATGTAGATTGGCGAGTGTGTGTGTGTGCTTGCCGAAAGCCAACAGTGTGAACATTAGCATGTGAAAGGGGCTCTGCAACAATAAGTCCCCCCACCCTATCAGACACACATCCACCCTGCCACCAGCGGCAGCACCTCCCTCCCATCACCCCTGACTGTGGATCAGGGAGAAGAGTTGGAGAAGAGAAAGGAGGGATAATGAGAGCAAGACAGAGAAAGAGGGAGAGCGGGCTTGTTTGGATGCCAGGGAGCTGCAGACAGCCTGATGGAGCTGGCAAAGCTTTTCTACATTGAGACCAACCTGAAAGATTGAGACAATGACACACACACACACACACACACACACAGGAACATGAGCGCACACACCGTGATTATAATGGTGGAATGCAAACCATTTCCCCCCACCTGAGTTTAGCTCACTTCAGACAATCGCTTTCGCCACTCCAGCATCTTGGCTCGCATTGTCACCTGCCATGCACGAACACTAACACACACATGCGTGTGCAGATACACACCTCCCTCTCTTTGTCCCATCTCACTTTTTTTCTTGGTATTCCTGGGAAGTCCTCCAAAACTTTGAGAATATTGGAGAGATGGTTTTGTTGGGCAGAAAATCAATGATACAGCACACACATATGCTTTGGAACATGCTGGTACACATACACGCAAACACCCCCCAAAATCAGCTATCCAAAATGTCCTGAGCCCAGAAATGCGATGCAATAATTAGAGGGAATGAATGCAACGATTATGCACTCATTCTATCATCTGCTTACACTTTCTTTCTGTCATCTCTCTTTCAGTGTGGCTGTCTTCTCCTCTCATTCCCTGCTCTCCCTCTTTCTGTCCAATTGCTCTCTGCAGTTGACAAGACACTGCAGGTGCATTGGAAAGAAGCACAACCGTGAAATCTCTCTGGACATTGCGAGCCCAGAAGCACACACACGCAAACACGCTTGCACACAGAGACATTCCAGTCCTCCTAGGCAGCGAGCAAAGTAGAATCAGAGGACAGAAAAAAGGGAGGCCGGCGCAGAGACACTGAGACAAAAAGCAGAAGAATCCTCTTTCATTCTTCCCCTCCAGCCGTCTAAATTTCAAATTCACTCTGTTGTCTCTGGTTCCTCATTTCTGAACATTCTAGACGGGACGCAGCTGTCAAACTTTTGACGTCTTCATCTCCCCCGGTCATGACCCTGCACCGGCCGGCTTAAGTCTCTGTGTATATTTGTGTGCGTGAGTGTGCGTCTGATTGGCTGTCAGTCAGGGTTTTTGACGGCTTCATCAGGCTCAGTCATGACCTCGGTCTTAACCAAGGCTTTAGAAAAGAGGGGGTGTTCCCTCTCTCTTGTGTTTTCTCTGCTCGTCCCCTTTGCACCCGCCGACGAACCCCCCAGCAGGGGAGGAGCAGCTCTCCATTGATGCCTTCTGCTGTCAGTGGACTTCTCTCAACCCCCCCTTTTGCCCCATTCAACATCTAATCCCTTCTTCCTCAGACATTCTCCACTCACCTCTCCTTCCTCATTATCCAGCTGCACAACTGAAAATTTAACACAACACCACTTCTGATCTGAACATGTCCTGCTTATGGGACATCTTC